ACGAGTTGATGGGCTGGCCCGTTTAGCCCGTCATCCCATCCAACCACGAGTTGGGTTGAGATTTTTCAACTTGTATAAAAAAAATGGGTCGGAACGGGTCATTTCATGACAACCCCGAGATGGGCCAGCTCGTATGGGCTAAGCTAGCCCGTTTTGACTACTTATATATTAAAATTTTTGTCCCTCTAAATGAAAGGTCATCTATGTTTGGGCAAATTATATTATGCACCGTGGTGCATAATCGATTATGCACCGCGCGTCTTTTTTTTTAAATGAAAATAAACAGTGTTTGTTTCCGCCGTTTCGCACCCTTTTGCAAAAAGTAACTCTGTTATTCAGTGTCATTTTGTATACACTGCAGTTTCAGTTCAACACAACTACAGTTTCATTTCGATATAACTATAGTTTCATTCGATATTTATAGACTCAAATATGTGAAAATGTTATTTAATTTTATTTTATATACACTATAGTTTCATTAAAACACAACTACATGATCATTTTGATATAATTACAGCTTCATTGTACAATATAAACTCAAATATGTGAAATGTTATTCAGTTTCATTTTATATACACTGCAGTTTCATTTCACTATAACTACAGTATCATTTTGATATAACTGCAGTGTCAGTTTAGATATACTATAGTGTCAGTTGGTGTTTAATACATCAAACAAGCGGACTCCGTTAACTCTAACGGCGGGCCGTTTCTTTACTTAAAGAAACTGCGCCGTTTTTTACCGCGGTGCACATGCACCGCGGTCTATAATATAACGACTGCTATGTTTGATTGTCCAATTCAAAATTTGGAGGAAAATATTTTGTTGTAAATTTTTAGTAAAAATAGCATTTTAAGTGAGTATTTTGTGGTACTAGTATATGTGGGGATCACTTTCAGTTTGGGTCGTGTCAAAGTTAATTTGGATTCTTCGAAGTGAAACAATGAAATCGATATATTGTACACTTAGAACAGATAATTGATGAATGAGAAATTGATTTTCAAAGTAGACCTATTTGAGTTGGAAATTAATATATTAATGCAATTCATTTTATCATGGAGAATGACGTTACAACACTTCCAACACTCTCAGGGGGTAGTAAATCGATTTTAAACGAGCGAGTGTTACATATGACTTGAATTTTTCCAGCTTTTTAGTTTCTCTCTTTCGTTGGAATTATTTTTCAAAATCCTAGATTTATAGGTGACAATCCACTTTAAGTTCTTTTTTTATTAGAGCATCCACTTTTGGTCCTATTATTATTGGTGCATGAATTATAGATGTTTTTTTTTTTTTTTCAAATAAACATAAAAATATAGCGGTTCAACCTATTTTGTATAAAAAAGATTTAAATGTCTTTTTATTTAACGACATTTGAACGATTTTGTTGAAGTAGGACTAAAAATGATCATGGCACAATAATACTAGGACTAGATGTGGATGTTCTAATAAAAAAAAAAAAGGACTAAGAATGGACTAACACCTATAAATCTAGGACTAAAAATAGAATTAACTCATTTCTAAAATTTAAATCCCGTTTATATATATATATATATATATATATATATATATATATATATATATATATATTATACTATACTATAATATACTAATAAGAGTCCAAGAGAGTTAGGCCTATAATGGGTAGAAAAAATGACGATCAAATTTTTAATCAAATGAATGACTCAGATTGATCAAATTTTAATTTTTCCTTGAGATTTCTTAATTTATCCTTAATGAATATGATTATCTGTTAACTTTTCCGTTAAATATTATCTTTTCCGTTAATTTCTTTTAGTTCACCGTTAACTTACTCATTGATTTCAATAAGAAAGATCTTAGGTTCGAACCTCATCCCAATCAAAGTTGACATAATTAGTACATTATTTTACTCTTATCCCCGGCAACGACGCCAATTTTTTATTATAGCAAAAATGAGTGATGGCGAGTGTACGGGTGCGAAATGTCGTCCTCAAGGGATTGGGGGATATGACACGCAATATGCAATCACAAGAAACTAGGAACTAGCATAAGGAAACCAACAAGAAGCTAAGCAAATCATAATGAAGTTAAGGCTACGATAACTAAACAAAATAACACGAACAGCTATTAACAAGAGATAAACATGAAATAAAGAAATAGGACTCAAGCTAGGGAGCATTATCATCTAGATACTTTAACAACCTATGTGATTAGGGAGAACAAGTAACCAAGGAATCAAACATGAATGCACGTAGGTATCCTAGTTTATCAACCACTCTCGTAATCAATAAACAATGATTAGAACAAGGAATTGCCCCACTCTCATGGTGTATCAATTTCAAGTCCATCAAGCACACAAAGCATCTAAAACCCCCAATTTTCCCCATTTTCATAAGAACAATCAGATTTATGCAAGGGGTGGCTAAAATCCTTAACCCAATTCTCATTGTAGCCAAGAATTCTCCAAAAACATGCTAATGAATGTGTACATCAAACATTAATAACATACAAACACAAATCCTTCATAAACTCAAGAACCCTAGGTTAGTGTTCTTCCCCTTTTTACAATAATCACAAACTAAGAATCAAGATATGCAATACAACCCTAAATCAAGTTCGAAAACTAACTACTCATGATTCAGAATTAACCCATGTCTCAACAAAACCTATTTTCTTCGCTATAATCTCCTTCCTTGGCCTCCTTCTATATGTTTGTGTCTTGATTAATTCCTCTATGCTATTTTTGATATATTCTTGATGATTGATAAGATGATTTATGTGTATTCTTGATAATCTTGATGATCTTGATGTTGAAAAGAGGTTCTTGATATTGATGTGATGATTCTTGACAAATCTTGATATTTCGTGATGTTAAAGATAAATTGTGATTTTGATGATTTGGGAGGGATAAGAGCCCTAGGGCGGATTGGGAATTTGTGTTATAATGCTCTTAATATATATATATATATATATATTTGGGTGGGAATCCGCATGTTCGGGTGTTGTTTATGTTTAGAAGTCATAATAGGATGAGTTATACGTGATTCTTACTTTTGATCCGTTAATTGTCTACGTGGTGTCGTTAATTGCGTTTAAAAGTGTCCAAGCAAGGTTTCGGGTTCCACAAAGGATCCCGGGACGTAATTGTGATGAAAGAGTGAGTGGGGGGTAGGGGTACCCGCCACCTACCCGCTGCCCGAAAATCACCGCCAGGCAGCGGGTAGGCGTTCGCCCGCCGGCAACCCGCTGCCCGAGCGATGATCTCCGACGGGCAGCCGGCGGGTGACCCCCACCCACCGGCTACCTGCTGGTCTGTACCCACCCCGGGTCTTTGGCTTCCCCGTTTGATGTTCCCCATTCCCCCGTGGTGTCCCAACGGACCCCGTTTGTCGTGCTTGAGTCTAGTTTGATGTTTTGGGTAGCGTTCGTAGGATAAAAGAGTCTTAGGGATTGCATGCTAGTTGAATCGGTAACCCGTTGGCCTAGGTGGAAGTCGTATGAACCCCTTAGGACTATTCTTAGTATGTGAATGATCACATGTAAGCTTATTTATGTGTCTTCCCCTTCCCAATGTGCTATTACGTGTTACTATGTGCTATTATGTGTTATGTGATGCATGATTCCCCAATTTGGTTGCGATCAAATTGGCTATACGGGTAGTTGGATGGGTTGAGAACCATCCCAACTGTTAACCAGGCCGGTTGCGATCGGTCAGGTATATAAATATTATATAGGGCTGTGGTCCACTGTTGGTTACTTATGAGCTGCGGTTCATCCTCTTGGCTGCGGTCAGTGATTCACTTCTTGGGCTGCGGTCCACATGGGCCTCAGGTACGATGACCCACCGAACTGGACGCGCCAGGCGGAGTGCAGGGCCAATAAACCCGAGGTAGGCTCTAGTCCACCAACCTGAGTAATCAGGCGGTGTGTAGGGCTACGGCTGGCTGCGATCCACCGAGTGATGGGCCAGCGGTGTGTAGGGTCGTAGTCTCCGAGGATCTTCGCCCACCGACTGAGTCTCTCAGTGGTATGTAGGGCTTGATCCGCTATGGTCCACTGACTGTGCCCGTCAACGGTGTGTAGGGTCGTATGCCCCCCCTTTTAAAGGGGATCACAGTCTACCGACTGGGCGCGTCAGAGGTGTGTACGATTGTGGTCCGACGTTGAGTTCGTCAGCGGTCTTTAAAGGGTTGGTTGCGATCAACTCCCTTCATGCTGCGGTATGAGGTAGGGTGCTGCGGGGCCGTGTTAGTGCTATATGCGCTAATCCTCATGTTCGGGCCATGCGATTGGTCCCGTGGCGCCAGCTCAGTGTGATTGAGTGTCACAAATGATGATTGAATGATGATATGATTGATGTGGAAATAGACTGTGACCTTAGTTGCGTATTCTTTATGATGATTCTCTTTAACTGTTATTATTGATTATTGTGTTTACCCCTATTTGCTGAGTCCATTCCTGGTTTTAAAACTAGAGACTCTTAAGTATATATCTTCCTGCTTCAAAATGATTTTCGTATATCTATATATATATATATATATTTATATATATATATATATATATATATATATATATATATATATATATATATCTACCTATATTGTATTTCAACGCGTTGGAGTGGGTTACCAGCATCATTCGCTGAACAGATATATTTGGCTTTCAGGCACAGATGAGTAGACACCGGAACGCGCTAGAGATCCGGAGCGTAGATTAGTTAGTTCCCTTTCGACCTGCGTGCCATGATTATCTATTGACATTGCTTTGAGGTTGTTTAGTTAGTTTAACCTATGCATCTGAGTTTTCCAGCTCAGATGTGGCATAACACCCCGCACTCTTATGTTGATTTTGGGATTTAATGAGAATTCATCTTTATTATATAAGCTTTAAAAGTTTCAAAATTTCGGGGTGTTATAACTACCTTGGATGAAAGTCTTGACCACATCCAACATTTTGCGGGTTTACCCTCTACTTCTGTACCTGAACCATACAGAGTTATCCATCCTGATGATCCCTCTATGCAGATAGACAGTGATGATGAGAAAATCCTGGCTGAAGGTTATGGTCCACAAGCCCCATCGTCTGATCCCACTAGATCCCTTACAGTGGAAGAGACAACACATCCAGACTCCACCACATTTAAAATTAGGGAAGTCTCCAAGCTGCTTGCATCTTCATCTGCTCCTGTGTCTGAGACAAGCAATTCGGTTTCTCCAAGTCCTACTGATCATTCTCCTACTAGAGAGAAAAGGAAATCCAAGCGTAAAGGTATTCCAGAAAAAGTGTCTGTGGAAATTGGTGATGACAATCTTGACACTGTTCAACCAGAGAAGAGACGAAGATCAGCTGAGTCGGTTAAGGCTGAAAGTGACCCACCTGTCCAACAGGTGTTTAAAACCTTGAGATCGTCAGTCAAGAATAAGGCCCCAGCGACTGTTTCCACCACTGCTACCAGAAAAATGAAAGCTTCTACAACTTCAAGAGGAATGAGTGTCACTCCTGATGTTCAAGCTGCTTCTGACAGTCCTGACACCACCATTTACAAGCCACAGTTTGTTTCTGCTACAGCTCAAGGCAAATGGTCAACTATGGTGCGACGAGAACTCATTGTTCAGCGATCAGTTGATGAGAATCAGTTAAATTCTGTCTGTGATGTATTACCCTTGCTCAGTGAGGTTGGCCTCATGAAGACTGTAACATCAATTTGCCCCTACTTGAAGCTGCTGACCTACGAGTTTTACTGCAATCTGAATGAAGAAATTGACAACCTTACGGGGACCCGGTGGCAGCAGATTTTCATCAGAGGAAAGTGGTATGTTTTCGGTCCAGACATGAATACATGATTAATGACTACTATGGCTTGAAGGCTGTTGATGAAGAAGAGATTACGGACTAGGATTTGGTTGCACGCACTCTCGCTGGTGGTCAGACTCCAGTATGGCCTACAGGTGATCCTGACACCTTGTCAAGCTCGGTGTCCACCTCTAAGTATGTTATCCTACACCGTATGGCGCTGCTCAATTGGCTCACATCTGCACACTTTCATACTGTAGGCAAGCAACTGGTTGCGCTTCTGTTCAGAATCGGCACCAAGATGTGTATTGATCTGGGAAGATGGATATTCTATCATATTCTCACCCTGATTTATCCAAGGGAACAGAAGGTAAGACTGCCTTATCCAAATCTCATTTATGGCATTTTGACGTCGCAGGACCTGGTGCCTATGCCAAGCGATATTATCACTCTATCTCTGCTATATACTGTTGATCCACGACTATTGATTGGCAAGCATATCCGGGATGTTACACCAGTTCATGCTCCATCATCATCTGAAGCTTGTACTAATGTTGAGGACTCGCCACATGCTAGAGATGTGCAGCTATCCCTCCGTCTGAAGGTTCGTGTGTCTGAGCTAGAGACTGTGATTATCACGAATCAGCTGAATGCAGCCCGTACTGAACTTGCGATCGCTCTGCTTCGTTTGAGCTTGACTGAGTCTGCTGTTGCTGAGAATGTGAAGTCTGACAGTGAAGGTCCCTCGAATGCTTAAATGTTCCTTTGTCTATCTTTGGCATAAAGGGGGAGTGCCTAAACTCAGGGGGAGTTTTTGTGTTTGTGTTTTTGTAGGACTGTTCGTATCTTCTGTCCCTGTCTGGGCGTGTGTTTGTGATGGGCCATGCTTTGTGAAGAATGTTACTTGTTTTTGTCCAGCACGACTTGTGTACTGTTATTTCTCTTATGGGTTGTAATTCATACTTATGTCCTTTATGCGACAGTTATCAGTTATTCTCTTCCTTTTTATCCCTAGATTATTGTTTTGTCTTAGTCGAGTTCTTTTGCAAAATAATAGCCAAAGGGGGTGTTTGTTAGTTTTTTTATTTTCTACAAAAAAACCCCAACATATAATTGGCAATATTATTATGGAAAACTAAGATAGGGTTTAGCTTGGTGTCTGTTTATTGTTACAGAAGACTAATTGATCAGGTTCATCAACAGACGCACTGACACTGAAGATCTGATAAAGGAAGATGTTTCCAAAATGTTGAACGCGGTTTGAGAAGACAGTTTTGGAAAGAAAATCAGCGGATCTGTTTTGGAAGGTATGGACCGAATCTTTAAGATTGCATTCTTCACAATTTGTCCTACCATCTACAATCAAAGATATTTTTGGAGAGTGTTCTTACCAAGGAAGTATAAGTATCCTTATTCGGTCAAGAATTAGGGTTACGGTTTTAAGAAGACGAAAACACTCCACGCTACACAGAGACTCATGTCCTTGATTATCATGCCTCTTCTCAAGACAATAAGTTCTTGGTGATAAAGATGAAGAACTTGAGAAGAATTATCGTTGCTTAAATAAAAGGACGCAAAGATCACCCAGTTGTGGGAACAACGTAGGACTGCGTCATTGAAGCGGACTGCATCAGAGTTAGCTCTCCAATTGAAGGGATTTCATTGGACTTCTGCATGCGTGGCTTTCCGACTTCAACAATCCACTAAGGTAGAGTTGGACTACTGTTGTTCTAACCAAAATAACTCAAACTTTATTGTCAACTAGAAAGGAAATTTTCACGAACTATTGGCCACTAAAGGCCTACAACGAGCTAACTGACTAAATGAAATCAAAGAAAATAGCGCGCCCAGTCGCTTATTTGTAGAACTTCTTGAGATGGTGGGCGTTCCACATGCGTTGTAACACCCCGAAATTTTGAAACTTTTAAAACTAATATGATAAATGTAATTTCTCATAAAATCCCAAACAGAGCATTACTAATTATAAGTGTACGAGGTGATATGCCACATATGAGTTGAAGAACTCAGATGCACAGGCTAAACTAACTAAATATCCTCAATACATCATCATGGCACGCAGACCGAAAGGAAAGACTATCTAACTAATCCACGATCTTCTAGCGCGCTCTGGGATCTACACGTCTGTACCTAAAAGCCAAATATATATGTTCAGCGAGAGATGCTGGTAATCCACTCCAACGCGTTGAAATACGATATAGGTATATATATATATATATATATATATATATATATATATATATATATATATATATATATGTATGTATGTATGTATGTATGTATAGACATAGGAAAATCATTTTGGAGCAGGAAGATATATATTTAGGAGACTCTAGCTTTTAAAAACGGGAATAGACTCAGCAAGTAAGGATAAGCACATCAAACAGTAATGAGCAGTTTAAATAGAGATAACATCATAAGGAATACGCATCAAGGTCACAGTTCACTTTCCAATTCCATCACATCAATATTCATTCATCATTCATAGCACATAACCCTTGATGGCGCCACGGGACCAATCGCATGCCCCGAACATGAGGGTTAATGCTTATAGCATTAACATGGCCCCGCAGCACCCTACCTCAGTACCGCGGTATGAGGGGAGTTGATCGCAACCAACCCTTTGAGAACCGCTGACGAACTCAACGTCGGATCACGATCCGACACACCGCTGACGCACCCAGTCGGTGGACCGCGATCCCCTTTACAAGGGGGGACTTACGACCCTACACACCGCCAATGGGTTCATCCGGTGGACCATAGCGGATCAAGCCCGACACACCGCGGAGCTATACTCAGTCGGTGGGCAAAGATCCTCGGAGACTATGGCCCTACACACCGCCGTCCCACCACCCGGTGGGTCGCAGCCAGCCGTAGCCCTACACACCGCCTGATTACTCGGATCGGTGGACTACAGCCTTCCTCAGCTTATTGGCCCTAAACACCGTCCTGGCGCGTTCTGGTCAGGTGGGTCATAGCACCGAGGCCCATGTGGACCGCAGCCCAAGAAGTGAATCACTGACCGCAGCCAGGAGAATGAACCGCAGCTCATAAGTAAACAATTTGACCGCAGCCAACTTCTGAACCACAGCTCAGGAACATCCCATTTGATCGCAACCAAATTGGGGCATCGTGCATCACATAACACATAGCAGCACGTAGTAGCACATAGGGAAGGGAAAGACATATAAATAAACTTACGTGTGATCATCCACATACTAAGAATAGTCCTAGGGGTTCATATAACTTCCACCTAGGTTAACGGGTTACCAATTCAACTATCATGCAATTCCTAAGACTTATTTATCCTACGAACGGTAACCGAACTATCAAACTAGACTTGAGCACGACAAACGGGGTCCGTTGGGACACCATGGGGAGTGGGGAACATCAAACGGGGAAGCTAAAGACCCGGGGTGGGGTACAGACCAGCGGGTAGCCGGTGGGTGGGGGCAGCGGGTTGCCGGCGGGCAGGCGGCTGCCCGCTGCCGGGCAGTGTCATTTTGGGCAGTGGGTAGGTGGCGGGTTCCCTTACCCCCAGCTACCCCCCACTGACTCTTTTCTCATATATTCGTCCTGGGAACCTTTGTGGAACCCAAAACCATGCTTAGACACTTTTAAACGCAAATAACGACACCACGTAAGCAATTAACGGATCAAAAGCGAGAATCACATAGGACTTATCCTATTACGACTTCTAAATATAAACAACACCCGAACATGTGAATTCCCACCCAAATATAAATCAAGAACATCACAATACAAATTCCCAATCCAACCTAGGGCTCTAATCCCACCCAAATCATCAAGAACATATTTTATCTTTAACATCAAGAAATATCAAGATTCGTCAAGAATCATCACATCAAAACCAAGAACTCCTTTTCAACATCAAGATCATCAAGATTATCAAGAAAGCATATAAATCATCTTATCAATCATCAAGAACATAACACAAATATCCTAGAAGAATTCATCAAGACACGAGAATATAGAGGGAGGCCAAGGAAGGAGATTATAGCGAAGAAAATAGGTTTTGTTGAGACATGGGTTACCTCTTAGCCTTAATTAATCATCCCTTGGCTATTAAGGTTCTTCCCTAAGATTTCCATCCGTTTTGATCTCCCTAGGCTTGGTGGTGGGGAGTCCCTTGGGAGTTCTTGTGTGGTGATATTTATTGTGGTGTGACTTCTGCGTGCCTCCTATGTCCTTTTATATATATATATATATATATATATATATATATATATATATATATATATATATATATATATATATATATATATATATATATATATATATATATATATAGGATTAAGGACTTGTTTTAGGGATAAGCGTCCATGGTGGACCATATTAATTAATTAAAGAGAATCCTAACCATAATCTGAATAGTAAAGGTATACTTTCTTTATTCCTAATAGGCTTATGACTCTAGTTTAGGCAAGGGTCCACGATCCGTGGTGGACCATGTTAATTAATTAAAGGGATTTCTAATCAAATTAAATCTTTTTTAATTATTATTAATGGAATTAATTAAATAATTAATTCGGGATTAAGGGCCGTAACACGGGGTGTTACATGTGCTCTATGGGTTCACCCTCCACGGTTTCCAACCGGTAGGTCCCGGGGTAAACCTCGCTTGCTATCTTGTAAGGTCCTTCCCATCTAATTGCCATTTTCCCACTTTCAATGGGGCGATTGGCCTCTCGATCTCTGAGCACAAGATCTCCCACTTGAAGGTATCTTACTTTGGCTCTTTTATCTTGATAACGTTTGGCAGCCTGCTGGTACTCGGCCATCGGAACGTAAGCCATGTCCCATCTTTCCTCTAGAAAATTCTTCTCAATTTGTAATGTTTCCTCGTTGCCCACATCATTGTATAAGAAGACACGCCGGCTAGGAACCAGAAGCTCGGTCGGGACCTTAACCTCAAATCCGTACGCCAGCGTGAAGGGGGTCTCCGCAGTCACCCTCCGAGGCGTCGTCCGGTAAGTCCATAAAACCTTCTCCAACTGCTCGACCCAAGTGC